ATGTACGTTAAATACTTGGGTTATGATATTTTCTAATTATTGTTATTGTAAATTCTCATTTCATTTATTGATTGTTGCTAGGCTTTCTACTGTTTTTAAGTTATCGTTAGTTAATTATGGACTTATATCATAGTTTGGTACTATATATGACTTAGCGCATGCTATTTATGTCTGTCGACATAAGTAGTATGTAACACCAATCAGAAGTTGAATGCCTGTTGAAGGTTGAGAAGATTGCACTAAAGAAAATAGGAAGGGAAAGATAAAGGAATTGAAAAATGAAAAAAATTCATGGAGGATGTAAAAGACAATTGATGGTAGATTTGCAAAAGAATTATTTAATGTATGATTTTCACATTTTACCAAACTGGTTGTCCATCACCTGGGTTCTCGTTCACTACATTAGGACATTACGATTTCTTGTATGAAATACTTTGTGGTCGTGTAATTACGGTATGAATTTCTGTAAGTTTTAGTTAAGAAGATAGTAAAAGCAACATGCAATAACTTTACAGTTTATTTTCATCTTCTGGCCGGACACTTGTGATAGAAGCTTGTATATTGATAGAAGTTAAGATTTCTGGCAATTGTGTCAATTTTAATAGTTGAGATAATAAATCAATTGAGGCTAGGATTGAAACTTCCAGGTTTTTCATTGTGGTCTAGCGTCAATTGATTCATGATCTCAACTATTAAAATTACTATAATATCCACAAAATTCCCTTCTTATATTAATTAACATATGCTCACCAGTGACTGGCTTCAAGAAGTATTTCCTGGAGTTCCAGAGAGAAGCAGTGACCAGTGGAGTTCAACTAGTTCTGTCGTCAGATAGTAACTCACTGAAGATAATGGTGGACGGTTGCTCAATTTAGTGGATCGGTTGAAGTTAGGCATTAACACCGTTGGATACCGACCGGTTCAGTGGTCTAGAGATTGAGCGTTCGCGCGCGAGACTGATAGGTTCTGAGTTTGAATATCATGAGGCAGGATCGTGGATGCGTACTCCTGAGGAGTCCCAGTGGCGTCCAATACTTCAAGGTTTTCCATAATTGTCTAGCTTCAATTGACTCATGATCTCAACTATTAAAATTATTATAATATCCATAAAAAACCTTTCTGATATTAAATAATTGATATTTGAAAAAAAATGGTCTAAAGTTGATCTATTTACTTTATGTCTCATTCAACTCATCATATTGATAACACTGATCAGCAACTCATACATTCCGAGTTAAATGAATAAATCAACGAATGAATTGTAACAATATTTTAATGTTGTTTGTTTTGTGTTTTTTCATCAATTTTTTTTATTTTGATACAATCAAAAATATGTGAATTTAAACAAACAAACAAAAATGTGAAATTCAAAAATTCGTTTTTGTTTAAATTACAATCTCAATCATTTTTTTTTCTCTTAATAATAAATGGATTTAAAACAGAGTAAGATTATTATTGATGCTTCACAAATAAAATCCATTAAGCGTTTTTAGATGTATTCAGTAGTTGAGAGCATACTTGCTTGTGTAATGAGGCTGATAACGCGATGGTATTCGAAGTGAGCGGTACTGGACTCGAGTTCTTGAATGTATATCCGCTCTGGGATGCAGCTACATCTGGCCAACGAGTCCCTGGAATCCACTGCTAGCCACCATCTATCTTTGTTTATAATGCTTGTTAATCAAGGCAATGTCGAGGCAATAAGCACAGTATGCACATATGCCAATAAGAGACTGATCAATTGATGTCCTATATATCAATGGGAACATTCAAGCAATCAATGCCAAGTGAATTGAAAATTCCATATATTTTTTCCCATTTATAAAGGAAGAATAATTAAGGTAGAAGAATAATATGAATTCTTTATATTTCGTCCTTTCTCATCAGCTACTTACAACTTAAATACAATACTGTTAATCTTCAAAGATCAATGTACATACTTTACAACATAATATCAGAAGAGTTATGAATTATATTATAAAGTATGTACACTGATTTTTAATAATTAATACTACTTATTATTAAAGTTGTAAGTAGGCAATGAGAAACCGCGAAATATAAATAATCCATGTTATTCCACTTCACTAATTATTCTAATTTAAGACAATAAAACTTGTTTGCTAAGGATAATAATAAAATGGAAATTAAGTGACATCTAAAAAAGTATATTTTTTGTTAGGATGGCCCGTTGGCAAACTCAAGGAAGCCCCGAGAAGCCCCGAAAGAGCCGAAGACATTTCATCCAATCACCGCTAGGGGAAAATTCTAGAATGTCGACATGTAGCTCTCCTATTGGTTGAGTAAGAAGGACCCTCTATGGGAATATTGACTATCAGAAATGATGATTTACTTTCAGCCAAAAAACTATAAATACATGAGATTTTTGTATTATATTTGACATTGTTTGGAATAACACTCCTACTTACTAGTCTTCTGTCTTCTCATTTTGAGACTTGGGAGGGTTCTAGCGTTCGAGTGCTCAAGTATTACGCGACATAGTAAGAATCTAAATTTGAGATATAAAATTTATTCTGGTAGTTGTACGGCTAGTCTGATGTGTACACTTTTAACGTTATAGTGACCATATATGAAATCGATTATTTTCATGTCTCAAAAGAACAATTTATGATTTAGAAAAAAAGTGTGTGGTTCATTGTTTTACATTTGAAAACGATATAACATTATTATCTAGCATCAGTTGTTTGATTCAGGTTTACCACTTAAATGTATATAACAAACTCCCACTTCATGATATCCATCTCATAGCATGTTGTTATTATAGGATTGCGTTATCATTTTTTTCTGGTTAGTGTTTTTTTTAACGAGTTGGTTTTCAACGGGATCGGATCACTAACCGCGTGCCCAACTCTCCTCCTTTATCCGGGGTTAGGACTGGCAGTAGCCCACGGAGGAGCTACAGGCGGAGTTGCATTATCATTACTCAATGGAATATTTATATTACATTTATTAGAAAATTAGTCAGTTAAACTATACAAGCATACAAGAGTAAACAATGAATACAATCAGAAAAGACTAGTTCTATGTATGGTACCGATCTGGTATTCAATTTGATAAACATTTTATTGAACCCTTAATTATTGTATAAATGTAAAAATATAAACATTGTACTTCATTTGTAAAGGTATTTATTTTCTCGTGATTAGTGTTAGGAACTGTAATTGATCAGTCAGTTTCGGCGTACATATAAATTGCGTGGATTACTTTGATACTGTCATTTAATTAAGAGATTAGAATAAAGTTGGATAGTAGCTATTAGTAGAGTTCAGTCGGGTACATCTTGTCTTATTTGAAACATTTTAGCTGCATTTACATGTAACTCAATATTGATGCTCATAAAGAGGCTCCAAACATTTCACAGTTAAATTTTATCCCAGCTATTTTACCATAACTCATGTTAATATGACATTTTACTGAATTGATTTCTTGGTTATTACTGAAGAGTTTCAGATATAGTGGAAGATGCAACCTTTGAAAACATCAAGTAATATCGATGCATTGGAATTAGTGACTACTATGCAACTTGGTCGACAAAATTCAATCAACCATGAGAAGGAGATATTGTAGTGAACAAGAACACGTGTGGAGACAATTGAATGTATTTGACACAGAAATTACAGACTATCTCACTAAAATCTGACAGCCAAACGATAAACAGTTAATTTGCAAACTAACAATCAATGGTCTCAAACTTGACTGTTCCTTCTGCAAATATCAATCCATCGTCTTTATTATTGTTCATGCATTTTCATATCAATTGCGTTTCGTTTCCATTCTTTCATTATCGATCTTTTACTGCAATACATTTAATGCCCGACCATCGTAATATACTGCTTATGGGGATATGTGTAACCCACACTACAGTAAGATTATACCATTGATAAATACCAAGTAGCACACAATTAATACACATTGCTTACGACCAATTATCGATCAACCGTCTCACACAATCAAATCCTGATATCTCAAGTGTTATGATTATGATAGGATAAGACAAATCTCCAAATTCTTTTTAACATTTAATACCTATTTAAGAAATATTAATATACTCATTAAGTTAACGAAATATGTAAGTTAATTAAAACAAATCACTATAATATACTATTTCATGAAAAAAAGTTATACCTATATTTAAATCGATCAAATATTCAACAGATATTTCCTAGAGTTCTAGTGAGAAGCAGTGACCGGTGGAGTTCAACCAGGTCTGTTGTGAGATATCAACTTACTAAAGACAATGGCAAACAGTTGCTGGATTTCGTGGATTAGTTAAAGTTAGACATTAACGCCGTTGAATGCCAATCAGCTCAGTGGTTTGAAGGTTAAACGCTCGCCTGCGAGACTGATAGGTCCTAGGTTGAAATCTCGCGATGCGGAATCGTAGAGGCGTACTACTGAGGAGTCTCACAATAAGACGAAACAGCCGTCAAATAGTGCTTCCAGGTTTTCCATAGTAATCTAGCTTCAATTGACTCGTGATTTCAACCATTGAAATTACTGAAATCTCTACAATAACCCCTTCTTTTTAAAAAGTAAGCACATTTAAACTTTATATAATTCCATTTTTCTATTATTAAAATTTTAAAAAAAAAGAAATGTTTATAATAATTATCATTTTCAAAACAAAACAAAATTTTCAAATATAGATGGTAAGTTTTCTTTTAAAAAATGTAACATAAAACATTTGAATGATTTAAACAAATTTCAATGGTTCAATAAAAGTATTTGTTCTCGTTTTACCGCCCCCCTCCTTTTCTTCGAAAAAAAAAACCTTGTCGTTAATCATAATAGTAATAATATTAACAATATTGTTATTAATAATAAGTACGAAAAGATAAAAACTTAATTAGTTCATAACCAAAAATGAAGGTAATTTTATATATATATATATATTATAAATATTAAAGAACACTAATCATATCGATTTTTTGTTGTTTTTTTTAAAAAAAAAGAAAAAGAAAGAAAAATTAAAAAAAAAAGTATAATAATATGTATTTTGTTTTGTTTTTTCAATGTTCATTCATTGATCCATTCAATTATTAATTTTTTTTAAATATTATATCTGATCAATATGATCATCAATTTTTGAATAAGCATGTGTAATGATTACATGTTTTCTAAATTGATCACGTTCATGTGCACTAGTATTTTTTAAATATTCATCAACAGCATCAGCTTCTGTAGATTCATGAGTTAAAGCATAACTAATTGTTACTTTAAACGGTTTTAATTTATTTATATTATTATAATTATTAATTTCATTATTATTATTATTATGTGTAGTATTCATATCGGTATTATGTAATTGATTTGATGATTTTGTACTACCAATTTCTTTATTATAATCATATGAAGTAGGAACGGTACCATTTTGAAGTTTACTATTATTATTATTATTATTATTGATTTGATCCATTTGATGTAGATCATGTTTCATATCATTTAATATAGAATTATTATGATCTGTTGAATGATGATTATGATGTGGTGTTGTTGTTGATGGATCTTGTTTAATATCATGATCAGATTCATTTAGAACTAGTTCTGATGTTTTATCATTTAGATTAGATGAACTAATAGTTTTCTCATTAATTGATTCTTTTTTATTTATATCAATGGATAAACGTTTAAATAATTGATTAGATGAACTATTTGTTGTAGGTGATCCTAATTTTATACTTTCACGTCTTGTTTCCAAAAAAATTTCTGATGATGATGGTGGATCTAATTCAGCTAATTGATAAATTTTACGTAAATCTTCAATTAATCTATCTTCTGTATAACCAGATGTACCTTTGAATAATTCATCACGTAATTCTTTTGGTGTAGTCGATTTTTGCATTGATTCAATTAAAGGCTATTAATAAAGAAGGAAGTAGAATAAATCTGTTAGTATACGGTTGCGAAGATTGTTGAGCTTCATTGAAATCATGAACTAATCTAAGTTAGAAAATTGTTAAAAACCTGGAAGCACTGGATGGCCGTTTTATCCAGCCATCAAGTCCCTAGTAGGAAGAAACACATGTCATGGATTTAGCTGCTAACCAAAATCCAACTTGCTTAAAAATGCTTGTGACCCAATCGGAATATCAAGGCAATTCTCACAGTATTCATATATAACAAAAAAGAGACTGATCAATTTCAGTCCTAAACATCAATGGGAATATTCAAACAACTGATACTAAGAAATCTCAACAGTATGTAAAATTTCAGTTATATAACAATTCCAATTCATTTGTACATTACATAGTCAGTCAGTCAGCTACAACGTACGACCAGGCACACATGTACATCGGTCCAAGCTGCCATACCTCACTCATTAGCACCAAAAGATGAACACCGAAATCATAGAAGTAGTTAATTTAGTGGTGATAATATATAAAAGAAAGGTAGTATACAAGAATATGGTGCAGGAAGAAACACAGATATCAAGCACTTTTAATCTCAAGGTTTAAAAGAAGATAAAGAGTGTATACACTTGTGCCATTGTGATCGATTCTGAGCCATTTCACCTAGAGTCTCCAACCATTGGTTACGATAGTCATGTGGACCCTAACCAGGTAGTCTGCATCTGCCAACATGGCTCAGACTAGAAGTTAGTGACTTCAAGCTCTGATGCGACGTTTTGGTTTGGCCGCCCCTAACTCTCTTCCAACCATCCCCAATACTAGTCAGCATAGCGCGTCGTGGTAATCGGTATTCAGGCATACGTAACACGTGGCCCAACCATCTCAGTCGATGAAGTTAATGATAAATGGTTAAATGAAGAATCACCTTAAAAACAATCTATTTTAGGAAGAATTCTAGAATATAGTTAACTTAGTGAATGTAAGGGATTGTATTTCCTTATTATTAAAAAACAACGACTGAAATTGATCCTTTCTTAATGAAAGATGTATATACTGGGTGAGTGCTTTGAAAATATCACTAAATCACAATTTTTAGTTAAGTTGTATAGGGTCTAGCAGTGAAGTTCAGAGAGCGCGTTTTGTCGTATTCAGAATTCGTCAGATAGATGTACATATGTCCGTGATGATTTGATTCAAACCCAGTTTCTGTCACTTCAAAAGCAAAGTTATCATCTAATGAGCAACTAAATCTAGATAGCAACGAACTTGCTTAACGGATGTTAAGTTATTTGTAATTGTTTGAGTAACCTGACTGTTGATATTAATGACTGTAATTGATCAACCACTTTTGATATATGTATATATTTAGAGAATTAACCCAATGTTGACAATTAATTCGTCGTTGTTATTACTGATATCATCGGTAAGATATGATTAAAATGATAATATATTTCTGTAAGTTATCATCAAATAGTAAACACCAATTCGATCCATAGCACATTATTATATTTACTGACTTTTCTCAGTTAATTTTAATAATATTTCACCTGAAAGCTGTATGTTTGCTAACTGCATATAGTTGTTTGGCGTCACAAAACGTTTACAACCGATCGCGAATATAATTACTGAAAAACTCAAGAAGTATCACCGCAGTAGTTTGTTTATTTCTCTCCTCTTTATTTGTTCTTTGGAGGAACAAGAGAGGATTCCTGCAGAATGTTTATAATCAAATTAATCGGCTATGGAAGGATTTCATATTAACAAGACTCTCCATAAACAAATACGGTTGAAAATAAATAACACTTAATCATTGCTAAAAACCTTCTGATGCATATTGTTCGTAAGTATTCATAAATTAAAAACTGAAAAGTCAGCTATTTTATTACAATACTGTAAATCTTCTGTTAAGAATTTGTTTCTGTAATCGAACATAAGGTTGAGGTTGAAGACATCACATACAGAACCGTGTAAAACACAATTGGTATCAAGTAGTGTTTGAAAAAACACATCGATATTAGATAAGAAATTATTAGAAATATTGTATACTGATCGTAAGTCGATTCATTAAAAATAATGGGTTAATTAGTCAGTCAGTCAGTCATAATGTAGAACTTCGTATGTACTTACATCAGTTCGAGTTGCCATACCATATTAGCACAGAGATGAAGTTGTAGATTTAAATCCCATAGTGGTAGAAGTAGTAAGAGTATAAGCAGTAATCAAAAAGATTAGGGTTTGAAGATGTTATTGAAGAAGTATAATCCAGTGAAATTTGGAGAGCGCATATAGTGGATACACCTTCGCCATTGCAAACGATTTTGAGCCATGTCATTCAAGGTCTCTAACCGTCGATTGCTATCATCTCGCGAATCCCAACCAGGTAGTCAACACTACCAGCATGTCTCAGTCCACTTGTCAGTGACTTCATGGATTTGTGCCGCGTTTTGGTCTGGCCGCCTCTAGCTTTCTTCCAACATACTCCTACACCATAAAACATTGCACGTCAGGGCAGTCGGTGGTTGGGCATACGTAACACGTGTCTCAGCCATCTCAGCTGATGAAGTTTCACTACTTCATCAATCGATTTGCCATCCTTACCTAGTACCCGTTTCCTAACAACTGCATTACTTACCCAGTGGTCCCAGGATATACGAACAATACTTCGAAGACACCTATGATCGAATACTAGCAGTCTACGAATATCCTCTACTATTACCGGCCATGTTTCACTGCCATAAAGTAGGACGGAAAGAACTGCTGCACAGTAAACTCGTTCTTTGGTTGCTAGACGGATATCTCGCCTACGCCATAAATGACGCAAGTTGGCGAAAGGTAGGCGAGCCTTCTGTTAATTATCATACTTTCCATTCATGGGAGTACTTTTTCTTTGACAGGAGTTATCTGTACAACACAATTAGGAAGTTATACTATTTATGCAACACTAATATATTAATTAATACCATAATTTACTGAGGATAAATAATTGGTTAATCGATCATCAGCATATTAATTAATTGGAGAGAATGATAGAAATGAAGAAAATATTTTTCCCTATTTTCGATTTCAGTTTGTACTATTCCATACTCAGGGTAATAATCTAAATCATGAATCGATGCATAGACATTTGAGATACTACAAATTTAACAGTATGTTATATCCCGATAACAATAGTGAAAGGTAACTTTGGGATCCATTTACGGACCAATATTATGCATATAATTTTTATCGTATATTCACTAAATAACTAAATTATTCATATTCATGTCCCCCTTATTATGAGCTTTATTTTGACCTATAGACTATTATTGTACGATTTACCATTCCTGAGTTATACCCAGTCTATGAATTACTGCTCCCCCTATTCACAGCCACATTTGGCTAACTCTTGTACAAATGTTATTTTCCATTTTATTGGTATGATGTGGTCGGTTTGTTTAGTATATAAACTCAGTATATTTGAAATACAATGATTCATACAGCAGAGGCTGTTATTGGTATTTTGGACCTAACTGGCTGGGCTAGGCAGAAGCAGGATCGAGAAGCGCTCTAGACTACTTGTACGGTTTTCGTGTGTCACTGTTCCGATCGATAAATCACGGCTCACTGATTGGCGGTCTTATCACTTCATACATTAACTAGGTATCCACTCGACCACAAGATATAACACAGTACTGTTCAGTAATATACATGTTACATAATAAATATATTAAAATTCTATAAATCTATCAACTTACATCATATTCATTAGTAATATCTAATTTTTCTCTACATTTCATAACAGCTTTTCGAGTTAATGCTACAGGTAGTCCACTTAAAATAGTGAAATATGTAATAATAAAAGCTGCAGATTCATGATTGTTTGGTTCACTAGTAAAGCAGAAAAGAATACAAAGATTTTTAAGCATATTAATATTATCATCATTAGTTTTATAAGAAATAATGCTTAATTATTAGAATAGAAAGTTTTTGAATGTTCATAGTTTTCATAAAGAACTAATCTTAGACAATCATCAAGAACTAGGAAGCACTAGACAAATGTTTCGTTCTAGTAAACGAATACTCAGCAGTACATGCCAACCACCAACATGAGATCAAATCTAAGATTTTCAGGCCTAGAGGCGAGCTCTTAACCTCAGAACCACTGAACTACTTGGTTGTGGGCTTACTATGAAACAGAAGGTCTTGAGCTCAATACCTAGTATGGTAGCGGATGAGCACTGCTGAGTATTCCCACATTAGGATGAAACAACTGTTCAGTGCTACCTGGTTCTTAGTGGTTGGTTAGTCAAGATTGATTTGCGATTCAAACTATGAACATGTTTACCCAATGAAATAACTTCTGACATCCCAACTTACACAGTCTGTGATGCAATTAAGACATTTTCCCATAAACTCTGTCATTAAAATTCTTCAATTATCTAAAGAAGCAAATTTGAGAGCGATAAACTGCATGTGAATTCACTGATAGATGTCTGTTCATTCTAGTACTTCTTAGTCATTTAGTAATCTACATCGATAGGAGTTAGTAGTTCTACTATTGTGTTGTCAAGGGACCCAGAATGTGTGTGAGGTGGTTTATTCAGCTGAGATCGTAAAGATTAGGAACATAACTGATGATCACCCTTATCTCCTTGATTATAAGTAGCGATACAATTTCCACACTACTTTATTAGACTGTTCTATTAATTAGATATCAATCACATTCTGGTTACAAAATCTTGGTGCATCCACAGTGATAACAGTCTGTGATTAATCTAGACTCATTGTATTGTAACGAATCAATTATTGGCTTATCTAGTATAAAAGTATAAATAAAGACTATAGCGCCTTAGCTTTTTTATTTTGTTTTCATAGAATATTTTTATCCAGGAGTTCTAGTGAGAAGCAGCGACCAGTGGAGTTCAAACCACGTCTGTTGTGAGATATCAACTCACTGAAGACAATTGGTGAACGGTCGCTCAACTTCGTGGATTGGTTGGAGTTAGACATAAACACCATCGAATGCCGGCTCAGTGATCTAGTGGTTAAGTGCTCTGAAGCAAGACTGATAGGTCCTGGGTTCGAATCTCACTAGGTGGAATCGTGGATGCGCACTGCCAAGGAGGAGTCCCACAATAGGACGAAACGGCCTTCCAGTGCTTCCAGATTTTCCCTGGTGGTCTAGCTTCAATTGACTCACGCTTTCAACTATGAAAATAGAATATTTAGATAGGAATCCATGGAAATTCCTTGATGAAATCATTGAAAGCCAGAAACGGGTGAGAACGTTTCATCCAACTAGCATACGTCATAATAAAACTTCTAGAAAACTAACGAATAATGTGTCAAAACTGTTTGGTTAGTAACTTACTCTGTGAATTAGATTAAAGTGTTTCCAAAATTGAAAAGGTTATGAATAAACTTATAAATACTGTTGTTGTTGTTTTTTTGTGTATATAAATAAACCTTGAAGTAAATCATTTTATACTTGCTTAATCTCTACCCCGGAGCTCAAGTGTAAGTAATTACTTGGGATCTAGAAAGCTGATAGAGGATCAATATTAAACAGCTGAGTAAAAGATATACACCATCATATTAAAATAGAACTAAGTATGATATAGATAGATTTTAATCATTTAAACAATGATCTAAATAAAAGTTTTTGATTAAAAAAATAAATAAGAAATGATTAAACTTACAAAAAATAGATGAAACAATAAAAATACAAAAAAAAGAAAAAAAAGAAAAAAAAAGAAAGAATATTTAAAAAAGTGTAACTTGTCATGATTATATACATTGGAATATAAGTGATCATGAACTTAACTCTGTTTAATGTATAGTGATATGAAGTATAATAGATACGAGATAATAAACTCTTCAAGGATTAATAAAAATTACAATTATGAGCTTTATATTTTATTCAATTTTGAAAAGAAAAATCATAGATCTTATCATCATTTTTGCCGATTGATCTTAGTTTATATCATATATAGAGTAGGATTTATTGTGTATACGACAGCATTTATCTAATATATGCTGATTAGTGAGTATTAAAACTGGTTAAACGAAATGACATATAATGTGTAATATGAAATTTAGTGTTATATCTAGAACCTTAATTCTTTCTATGCTGCGTACTACTAGACTACTTGAACGATCGAACCCGCAACGTTGCAAGAGAGAAGATAGAAGACTAGCAAGTACGAATTTTATTCCCCAAACAGTGTCAAAATATAAATTCAACTTAGTATTGTTTGTTTGAATCGCACAAGCAAGTGGTTATCAGGACTCAGTGGCCGAGTGGATAACGCGATAGCGTTTGCAGCGAGGGTACTGGGTTCGAGTCCCAGAGTGAACATCAACTCTGAGATGCAGGTACATCCAGCTGACGAGTCCCAAATAGGACGAAACGCGCATCCTGGATTCCACTGCTAGCCACTATCCATCTCTGCTAGTGTCAAAATATAGTACAAAAATCTCATGTATTTTTAGTTTTCTGGCTGAAAGTAAATCATCATTTCGGATAGCCAATAGGTACATAGGGGGTCATTATTATGCATCCAATAGGGGAGCTACACATCGACATTCTAGAATGTTCCCCTAGCAGTGATAGGATGGAATGTCTTCGGCTCTTTTTGGGCTTCTTGAGGCTTCCTAGAGTTTGCCGATGAGCCATCCTTACATTTAGTTAAACTTATAGTTGGAATAATCACTTATGGAATGTGCGAAGGAAATGATCTGCAAACGTGCGTTTTAATATTATTATCAGAAGCGGTCTTTTGGATATTATAGTAAATTTTTTCACATAGTTGAGAACATGAATCAATTGAAGCTATACTACTATGGAAAACCTGGAAGCACTAGACGGCCGTTTCGTTCCTATACGGGACTCCTCAGCAGTGCATATCCACGATCCCGCCTCGTGAGATTCGAACCCAGGAGCTACCAGTCTCGTGCGCGAGCACTTAACCGATAGACCACTGAACCTGTCGGCATCCATCGGATGTTAATGTCTAACTTCAATCGATCCACGAAATTGAGCGACACATCCACTAATGATATTATATGTATTCACGTTTAGATAAATCATTTGAAAACGACTTATTTCATAAAACCTGACATTTGTTGAAGAATAATTAAATACTAAGGGACAATTGACAATTATTTCATTTGTACGTTGAGACTTCTGAGAAATAAGCATCCGTCTATTTATCTATGCTCAAATTCGTCATCTTTAAGTCAATCAAGGTTGAAGTGAGAGCATCGTGATATATTATTAGCTTACAATTAACTAGCTGACCCAATGACTTGGTAATAATGTCTCAGAATATAAAGCTAGATGACAAAGGTTCAAAACTCTCAAGGCACATTAACCCCTTCAAAATTTAAGGTAGACTATGCTGACTAATACCGACTAATATGAACATTAGGTTCAATGAAGCTTTTTAAAACCACCCACTTAACATCTTTTTGACTTTTTTAAAAGTAAACATTTATTATCAATCAAATCTGACCTACTGACTGAATTTTATCATATTTACTGCATGAATAGAAGGAGCTTGATTTACTCTTACGTGAGTCAATGAGTTCATACTATTAAGGCGTTCTAAATGAGGACTATAAAATTGCCAAGCGTCATATCTTGTAAAAATCCGTAAACAGAACTACCTACAAATAAAATATACTGAAGACATTGGTGAAATGATTGCTCAACTTCGTATATTGGTTGAAGTTAGACATTAACGCCATTGGATGCCGGCTCAGTGATCTATCGGTTAAGTGCTCTGGCGCGAGACTGATAGGTCCTGTGTTCGAATCTCGCGAGGCGAGATCGTGGATACGCACTGCCAAAGAGTCCCACAATAGGACGAAACGGCCGTCCAGTGCTCTCAAGTTTTCTACAGAGGTCTAGCTTCAATTGACTCATGATTTCAAGTATATATAAAAATATACTTCACTTAATAATTCCATTTTAAGGCAAATTTCTTTTTATATTAAACTATTTCTTATATATATATAACAATTGACAATTGAAACGGTCTTTTGAAAATTAAACTCATCTGTTTATCATACGACATTAATCATTGTCAAATTATCAACTATATTCGATATGATGGAATAGTTTAATCTAAAAATAAAGTGTAATACAAGAATTTGTACAGAAATATCTTGAGATGCTTGTATATATGTATATGTGCATACACACACACACACATCTACAAATACACTAAGAAACCTACACAATGGGTTAAGAAATTTCGTATAGTCAAAATCATACCTATATAATACTATAGTATAATGATATTACTTTTTAAACGTTGATTACGTTGATTTCGCATTTTAACTATACAAGTTAAATTCTTTTTTTTTTTCTATCGACAAACTCTTATCATCGCATAAAGTGTGTTATTATAACATATAACATAATCTTCAATTATCTTTGGTTTAGTAACCAAACTAGGAATTCTTTTTTAGCATTAAGAATGAGTAACCAGTTACCAATTAGAAAATTAATTCATCTACATCGTTAGCTGCATAAACACCATGGTAGTAATAACAACAATAAAAGTAATGTTATAGAGTTGGGATCATGAGTCAGTTGAAGCTAGACCACCATAGAAAACCTGGAAACACTGTTTGACGGCCGTTTCGTCTTATTGTGGGACTCCTCAGCAGTGCGCATCCACGATCGCGCACTCGCGAGATTTGAATCCAAGACCTACCAGTCTCGCCCCAGAGCACTTAACCGATAGATGATTGAGCCGGTCGGCATCCAACGATGTTAATGTCTAACTTCAACCGATCCGCGAAATTGAGCAACCATTCACCAATATCTTCAGTGAGTTGGTATCTCACAACAGACCTGGTTGAACTCCACCGGTAATAAT